CCAATGTAAATATTGCTGTCATTCATTCACATTGTCCTTAATTCCCCTTCTATTTTGCCTTTTGATAATCACATCCAACCAACTGTATTCCAAGGTATAGGATAGCAATATTATGTCATCACACTCGCAATATTTCACTTGTTACCTTGTGAGATATTGTTCGCAGTCCAGCAGAGCCTTGCCAGGGCAACAAATTCACAATGAGGTGTGGCATGTTCTTGCACCTTTGGTTGTGAATTTGTTGCCCTGGCAAGGCTCTGCTGGACTGTGAACAATATCTCACAAGACAACAAGTGAAATATTTTCACAAATATCTGTGCACATGTCTTTCTGTTCTTTGGTTCCCCTTTCCCACGTGTTTCTCATCTCCTTATTTTGTTCCTGGATCTTGTGACCCTTGTACAGATGACTGAAGAACTTCTGTGCATGAAAAAGGCATTTCTTAATTCCAATGGCAACTGCAGGCTCTTGTGCAGCATTGGATGCTGTAAATGTTCTCCCAACTTTCAGATATGCCTTTTGGAATTTGGATGACAATACAAAGGATATATTGGAAGAAGACCCCTGAGAAATCCTTGACAATAACTGGGACCTTTCTGGGCCCTGGGTGTTGTAGTTAATCACTATAAATCAATCTTCAGATTACTTAGGCCTGTGACAGAAATAACGAGTTTGAAAAGCGGAAGAACCACACACTCAATGTCCAAAATCTTCTTACATAGCTACACAAATGGCATAACTTTTGCAGGCAAATTGTCCAAGTTAAAAATCATCTTTGTCGTTGTTTAGTCGTTTAGTCATGTCCGACTCTTCGTGACCCCATGGAGTAGAGCACAACAGGCCCTCCTATCTTCCACTGCCTCCTGGAATTGTGTCAAATTCATGTTGGCTACTTCGCAGACACTGTCCAGCCATCTCATCCTCAGTCGTCCCCTTCTCTTGCCGTCACACTTTCCTAACATCAAGGTTTTTTCCAAGGAGTCTTCTCTTCTCATGAGATGGCCAAAGTATTGGAGCCTCAGCTTCAGGATCTGTCCTTCCAGTGAGCACTCAGGGTTGATTTCCTTTAGAATGGATAGGTTTGTTCTCCTTACAGTCCAGGGGATTCTCAAGAGCCTCCTCCAGCACCACAATTCAAAGGCATCAATTCTTCGGCGGTCAGCTTTCTTTATGGTCCAGCTCTCACTTCCATACATCAC